GAATTGTGCTGCTATGAACATCGATGTAGCAGTATCCCTGTAGTACGCTCTTTTAAGGTCTTCAGGGAAAAGTCCAAGAAGGGCAATAGCTGGGTCAAATGGTGGTTCCATTCCCAGCTTTCCCAGGAATCTCCATACTGCTTTCCAGATTTTTTCTCTAAAGATATACTAACATTTTGCCACCTCTTGGGTAACAAAATATATAGGATGTCACTTTCTTTCCTGATAGGATATGTTGGCTCAGTCCCCTGTTATTCTCCTTGATCTTGGACCTCAAGGCCATGGACAGATCTGCCCAGGCCACTGGGGACCTTTTACTCACCAGGGCCTTGTACTCCACAGGGGACCAACCAGCCTGGGGACTTTCCTACAGACTAAGTGCTATTCTCCAAGCAAAATAAATAGATTTTTCTCACATATTACAAATCAGTGCTCCATGACTAATGTTCATTTTTCCACTTATTCCTTTGTAATTTTTGGCCATGGATCTTCTCTGCCTATACCTTTATCTCACAGAGATAAGAATAATAGGAGGATAAGAAATTAATTAAATAGGAAGAAAATAAGCACAAGCTAGTGTAAAGCAATTACCGCAGGGCTAATAACCTCCCCTGCAACAATTAGACAGTTATGTCAAATGAATTTTAAAACCATTGGAGTTGTTTTGAGCAGAAAATCTAGGTATTGCCTTTGCTGTCAGTCACTATGACTTCAAATCCTGGGAGCCTGATTAAGTTGACGATGGACCAGCAACATCTTTATTCATGCACAGCTCTTGACAGAATTTGTCACAGGCAGTACAATGCCTCCCTTTTCCTCTTTTCTTCCTCCCTGCCGTCTTTCCTCACTTCCTTTCACATGTACTTATGGAGGAGCTACCATATACCCCAAACTGACCTAGGTACTATGTAATCAGAAATTTCTGAATTAGGTGTGTGTGGGGTGGTGGGGGCAGTGCGATGGGCAGAGACAGACACAGAGAGAGACATGACAAATCTGTTGGGTGACTGGTGCACTTTATCATGCAGTCTGCATTGTTCACTCAGTCCAATGTTGGCCAAGGGCACCAAGTGCCCACGGTGTGCCAGGTTGGAATCCAGAAATTAGGAGGCAGCAGTCCTTGTATTCACAAGCTGTGGCCGCACAAGCAGGGGATTGCACTACTATCAAGTTTTAAAAATAATATGAGCAAAGAGAGGTTGAGTTTAGGGAAATGAAGACATGATATGCTCGTTGGCCTAAAGTTGCCAGGAACAGATCCACCATGGAGTTGTTAATGAAAATGAGACACACGGGTGAGAGGAATGTTTCTTCATCAAACAGCAAATGGTTGATTACGGTTGCAGCAGGGGCAAGCAGTGGGCATCGAAAGCTTATCCTGGAGTAGCCAAGGGAGTCTTTGAAAAGGATAAGTCATCTTGTGCTAGCCAATATTAAATGAATGTAAAGCTTCAGTAAGTAAAACCATGTGCTATTCATGGCAGAAAAGCCAGGAACTCAGTTATTTTTACTTTCTCTCCTTTTCTTAATTATGTCAATTAAGGAAACAAAATAAAACCATATCCAATATGAAGGGGCAAATGACAAGCTATTCACAACATTAAAAACAGAAAAAAGGTTAATGCATAAAGACTATCTTAAAGATTAAGAATATAGCAAATGAAAGCATTCCAACAAAAAATGAGTAAAAGAATTTGAATATGGGGGCTGGGGATGTGGCTCAAGCGGTAGCGCGCTCACCTGGCATGCGTGCAGCCCGGGTTCGATCCTCATGCACCACATACAAACAAAGATGTTGTGTCCGCCAATAACTAAAAAATAAATATTAAAAATTCTCTCTCTCTCCCTCTCTCACTCTCTCTTTTAAAAAAAAAAAAAAAGAATTTGAATATGTACTTCGTTTTAAAAAATGGCAATAAACAAAGATGAAAAAAAATTTCTTTCATCTTTTGTGATGAAAGAAATGCCAAATAAAATGACAAAGGTTTTTGGCCTATTGATTTTGTAAGGACATATACAGCATATACAGCATGTCTGAGAACAGGGAGGTAGGGTTTACAAAGTTAGAACTTTGAACTGGTCCTTCTGCTTACTTAAGCTTGGCATTAGGAGTTTATTTAACCTTGCTTAAAAGAGGCACAAGAAAGAGACTCAAGATAGTATGGGAAAGGAAAAAGCAGGGGTGGTGGAGGAAAGGAGAGAGAGAGAAGGAAGAGGAGAGATGAGTTGAATCTTAGGCCTGAGACGTAGACTATGCTGTAACAGAGCCCCTTTGAAATTGAAAGAGCTAAAATATTTTTCTGCAGCTTCCTGTTTGTTATTTTCTTTATGTCAGTGGAAGTTGAGAAGCTTTGCCCAAAGCTCAGGCAGTGCCATCAAAGATTGAAAAAGAAATTGTGATGTGTTCTCTGCTTAGCTAAATCTACCTATATATATTCCCTGCCTTTTCTTTCTATATATCTTAACCACGTCTGTAGGAACTGCAAAGAGACAGTCTAGCTGTTTCTACTCAGTGTTGGCCAAACTGCACTAAGTTCATCTTATCTTTTTACATTCTTTATTTCTTATGAGGGAAGGTGACTGAATCCAGCCAGCAGGGAGGGGTTGGGGTGGGTGTGGGACCTCAGGTAGGTTCCCTGGCTTGGCTGCTATAAGAATATCAAGAACTAGGTAGAAAACAAATTCTTCATAAAACTCCACCTGGGCCTAGCCCTGGTTCAAGAGGTGGAGTATGCGCTGTCCCCCAGAGAGAGGAGCCACCATGTTCTTTTTCCCAGGGAAAAGTAGAGCTAGAGGATGATCATCGGGCTTCTTGTGAGACAGGAATTGCTTCTGCAGAAACTCAAGGACAAGGGAGGTCACGACTAGAGTTCACTGTTCTGTCTGGAAGTGAGGAGCCAGGAGCAGGCCTGAAGGAGGCCTTATTTGATGAGAGCTGGGTGAAACTCGCTTTTGAAATCATTTCCCTTAATCAGCAAACAAATTATATTTTGCCTTTTCAAGGACACTTAAGGAAAAAGGACAAGTTAGGCTAAAGGCAAGTTTAAGAAGTCCTTGAGTTAACTGGAAAAAAAAGAGCCTGAATTAATATAGGAAGAACTCTCAGATGGTGAAAGATGTGAGATGTGGCTAGATACTTGTCCTTGTGGGCTGTGAGAGTCACCTTATGTGCTGCTGCATCCACCTAGCTGAGTCTGGGCTGTGCCCCCAGCAGAGTGGAAATCAATCAGAAGTGAAGCCAGGGCAGTGCTGCCGTGAAAATCAATGCCTCAGTTGCCTTTGATCACATGAGTTGCTCTTTCCAAATGCTTTCTTGCTCTCTCCTCTTCCCCCAGCCCCTTCTAACATTGTTGCTAAGACTTAGCTTTCATTGGTTGTCTAAATAAGCTTCATTTTCCCTTCAAGCATCCTCCCACCTTCAGCTCGATAGAAAGGAGGGCAGCAAATTGAAATTAAATGTGGATGTTAATTTGTCAATCCAGCAGCAAGACTGGACAACATCCAAGCTCAGTGATGTTAAAATCTGATTTTTTTGGAGTCACTCTGTTCCTGTCCAGCTCCACCTCTTATAGGGAGCAAGTTATTTTGCCTCTTTTTGCCCTAAATCTACTCTTACCAAAAATTGAGGGGTGGGATGTGTTATGGATAATGTTTCTCCCAGATTTAGTATTTCACGAGACTCAAGTTAAGCAACAGAGAGCACAAAAAGGTGATTCCTACAATATCAAGAAACACTTGAACAATATTCAAGCAGCTTAATAATTAAAAAAAAATATTAAAACAATGAGATATTTTCTTACCCTTGCAGTTTGGGAAAGATTTAATAAAAAGAAAATGGGTCTCTTTTGCACTGGGCTGAAGAAGGGAAACCAATGCTTTTGGCTGGAGCAGACCTTTCCTGAGGATCGTTTGTGAATATACATCAGAGGTCAAAATGAGCATCATCTTTGATCTAGAAACTCCAATAGAATGAGTTCTGCAGACATAGTCAGACTCCTGTATAATTTTAATTACAAGGAGTTTTATCACAGTATTTGTACTACCAAAAATCAAAGGCTGATCTTCCATTGTCCAGGACACGTTATGTGACACATCTTGGCAGGTGTGGGGGCACCCCAAAAGTGGCCCACATACACAGCTAACATGGGTTTCCCTGCGGTCCCTCGCCCTATCCACACATGGAGGACTACTGTTTCACCCAGTGAGATCCTGCCTTGAACAGGGTGCTGTGGTCATCTGTCCTGAAAGACAATCTGTGACCCACCATTGGCTGCAGGACCAAGTGGACATCTTAGGGCTCAGTTGCCCAGGCCATTCGCAAGGAACCTACCCCAGCCATTATCAAATTCTTTCTCAATGGAACTGCCTGCCTGTCTGCTCAGTGCCCTTACTCCTCTGATCTCTGGTCCCCAGGGCGCTTGCTTCCTCCCTACTTTTCCTTCTCCTTCCCTCCTTTAATGATGGCTTCCAAGAAATGTCTGTTGCCATTACCTGACCCCAGTCAATGTCCACATACTCTCATATATTAGCGTGCACCAACTATTTTGTTTTGAGTATACCTATCTTTCCATTTATAAGATGCATGAAGCTAGTTTCATATTATGTATTTGAAAGGTGGTATGATAGGTTGTTCAATTAAACCTGGATTTCAATCATGTGTGATGTTGGATAAGCTACTTAACCTCTTTGATTTGGCTTTTTATCATTCATAAAATGAAGACTTTGGTGCTTTTTTCACAGGATTGTACTGTGGAAATGGGGTAATTGTTAGCCATGTAGCACAATACCTACCCTTTAGCACATTCTCAGTAAATGTTAGTTCTCTCCTCCTGACTCTCCTTGGGAGGAGTTGGCTTAGCTCATGGTAGCTATATCTTAAATCTTAGGACCTGGACAGTTCCTCAAGGACATCAAGAACAATGAGTGATCAGAAGGGGAGCAAAGTAGTCCCTGGAAAAGCAGAAAAGCCCCCTTGTGGATCTGGCCTGCTGGCAACTTACCTGATGATTGTCAGAGGAATAAAGTACACTAGGAAGGCCACAATGGTCATGTATGGGGTCCAGTAGGAGTCATCAGGCCACAGGGCCCAGCACTGCACTTCACCATTGGAGAGTGTCCTTTTCCCGAATATGATCAGGGTGGGAACGGAGAACAGGAAGGAGAGGCTCCAGGCAACCCGGATGAGGACCTTAGCTTGCTTTTCTGCTCAGAGGAAAAGGAGAGATGCCTGAGTACCTGGGAATATCTTCAGGAACACACTTGGAGTGTATTGTAGAAAAGGACTTCTGTGAGAGGGCCACTTGGACCTCTCAGAACCGCTTGCAGCCTCAGTTTCCTCATGTGTAAAATGGGATGCTAGCACCTGTTGCCTATAACGTATATCTCCTACCAAAAGTGTAAGTTCCCATTCCCTGTGTTCCCCCAATACTGAGAGGATTCTTACTCTAAATATTGTTATCTGGTTGGTAGAATTTTCTATCTAAGTGTTTAATCTTGCAATTCTTTAGTTATTAGTTAAAAATGAGCATTTTTATATATATCTTCTATTTATTTGTGTTTGCTTCTTTATCTGTTTATATCTTTTGCGCATTTTGTTTTTAAATTTGTATGTTCTTATTTCTTTGCCAAAGTACTGGGGATTTATATAAGGGTGGCTTTACCATTGAACAACATCCCCAGCCCTCTTTATTTTTATTTTGAGACAAGATCACACTAAGTTGCCTAGGTTGGCCTCAGACTGGCAATCTTTCCGCTTCAGCTTCCTGAGTTGATGGGATTATCATGACTGATTTTGTCAAAGTTCTTTATAAAAAGGATATTAGTTCTTTGCCTCATATGTTCAAATATTTTCAATTCATCCTTTTGCTTTTAATTTATGAAGTTTATTATTTGTATAAATTGTTCAATAATTTTGATATAGTAAAAAACTCTCCTTGTTTTCCTTATTATTTCTGCATTTAGTATGATTCCTAGAAGCAAATTTCCCTGGCTAAGATTTATTCATATATATTCTTTTGATATTTTTTATGTTTAAAAGGTTTCTTTTTCAATCTAACAGGAACCTTATTTGTAATTAACTGTGACATGTGGTAATTTAATTTTTTTTAAGTATGTAGAGAGCTATTACAACTCTATATACTGACTCATTCTTTCCAAGCTAATCTGAAAGTTCATATGCTTTATATATACTATTATAATTCCAGTATCTTATTGTTCTAATGATCAAAGTTTGATTTGTGTTTTAATATCTGGCACTGCATAAATCTTTTCACTATTATTGATATTTTTCTAATTATTTTTATATTTATTTTTCCTAAAGAGCTTTACAATTGTCAACTTCTCTGGAGTTGCTGACTAAGGAAGCTACCACTTTAATAAAAAGCAGTAAAAAATACATTTACTATTCAAAGTATCTGTGTCAGTTTATATCCTTGTCAATAGTAAATGAAAATTACCACATTTCCTCACCTTCTTGCAACTCTCCAACGACATTCATTACACTTTATTCTAAAGTTCTGCTTGCTCTATTAACTTTGTTTTCCTTAGGAGTAAATTCTGTGGAATAATATTTTAAATGTATGATCTATTTTCCACAGTTTGGCTTCTGTCACATTTCCTTAATAATATTTGATTGCTCCTCATCTTTGTCGCTGAGATTTTCAGTTATGTTGTTCATTTTTTCAGTTTTCACAGTCAGCTTGTGGGAAGGTGGCTTAACACTGGGCATGGAAGAGGGTGGCCTCTGCTTGTGGTTGGAGTTGTGGTCAGTTGGTCCTATGGTGAGGTCCCCACCATCTCTCCAAGGCTTCCCACAGCCCCAATCTGTCTCATTGAACTCAGCATTCTTACTGAGCTTGCTTATTTGAAAGCAGAGACTCCATTTCTGCTGCCTGTGTGGAGTGAAGGAGGGCAGCTGGAAGGGAAATGAACTTAACCCTCCGTATTGTGCTGAAGAAATCACTCTTTCTGTTTCCTGGGTCCTCTCCTGCTCTGGGCACTTACAGAGTCTGTTCTAAGAGTACTGACATACTACTGCAAGCATCATCTGGGGTACTGTGGGCTGACCCATCTGCTTCTTTCTATCAAGGATCTTCACTATTTCTGGGTCAAGGAGGATTTCCTTTGTTTTCAGTATAATAATCAATAAAAAATATCTTTTTCATTTTTTTTTTCCTATAGTTTTGGGGTAAGAACTATGAAGTGCTAGTTTCTAGAAAGTGAGCAAGTTGAAGTGGGAGTGTTCATTTCTTTGCAGTGTCAATAGGGCTCTAAAGGACCTTGGTGGAAACACAGAGTCAATGTCAAAGGTGGGTCCTTAGCCATCCCTGGGAACAGTAAGCATTTTCCCAGGTACCTCAGCTTTTTCTTCTATACCCTTTTGAACAACAAGACCTATGAAGTGGGGAAGGAAATACAAAGAAGGAGAACAAAGAGAGGACAAGGAAAAGAAGGAGGGAAATAAGAGCACTATTGTTAAGAATAAAATATCAATGAAAATAATCCCACCCTCATTCAAGGAAGATGCCTCATGAAAGAAGGCTTGCTTACCTCCTTGCAGAAACTTCATGGGGTAGACGATGGCATGGTATCTGTCTATGCTGAGGGACACCAGGACGTAGGTAGAGGCATAGAGCAGTACAACCTAAAAATACAAGTGAGAGGAGTTATGTGACGTCATACAGGTGAGGAGCACATGTAATGGAAAGAATCATCTTTTATGCTATTTAGAAATCTTGGATGAGGGTTGGGTTATGTGGGGCGCGTGCTGACATTCCCTGCTGAGGAGCAGGTTGCAGTTCTTGATGCTGGAATTTGCATTGCTACTGGTGATGGGTGAGAATGCTTTTAGCTCCCACTCACTCATTCAACTGGCTTCTTGGAAATTCCATATTACAGGATCAGTCCCTCTTGACATTTGCATGGTACATTTATTTGTAATTGACTTTTAAAGCTAAATTAATTTTCTCTGCCACAATTGACATTCCAGGATAATTAGAAACAAAGGTTCATTTGCCTTTTATCAGTGTGAATAGTTGAGAAATGATAGAAGGGTTCCGGTTTCAGTAGGTCCATGTGCTGTTCTGAATCATTTATCATCAGCCCACCGACACCATCAGAGAGCTCCCCTGCTTCGTCCACTTCTCTAGCAGAGCTGTTCACTAGGGTCAGTTTCTGAGTCTCCTCTCCCTCCTCCACACTGCCTCTTTTATTAACCTTACCCACACCCTTTAATTATCTTGTGCAGTTTTATTTGCATACTCTGCAGAAGAAGAAATTGGGATATAAGAAATTAATATCTTCTGCAAGTGACATATTTAAAATGTAATTAAATGAAATATCTCTGAAAGGATGATCATGGTGGAAAATTGTCAGGTAACTTGAAACTTCATTTCTACCAAGAGCCCAGCTTATCTCTGCTTTGTAAACTTAGGATCAAATCTAGAAGGGGTAGAAGGGTAAAGAAGACTGAAGACTGAAGTTCTAAAGATGAGTGTCTTTCTTCTTGATATTTACCTATGTGCTGAATTTGTACCTTTTTGTTCTTTCTCCAGCTCAGACAAGTAACAACCAACTGTAGTTGCTCCTTAACTTACAATGGGGTTACACCCCAATAAACCCATTGTAAGTCAAAAAGACATTAAGTTGGTCATGCATTTAATATATTTAACCTAGCTCAGCCTAGCTTGCCTTCAATGAGCTCAGAAGACTTATCATTATTAGCCTGCATTTGGGCAAGATAATCAAACATGAAGTTTATTTTACAATAAAGAGTTGAATTCCTCACTTAATTTATTAAGTACTCTGCTGAAAGGAAAGAACAGAATGGTTTTATAGGTATTCTTTGTACCACTATAAAGTTTAAAAATTATAAATTAAATCATGAGAAGTTGGGGACTATCTGTATACTGTATTTTTTCCCCCCTCATCTTGGTAATACTACCACAAATGCACCTCAGCACTTAATTTGTGGAAAGTGCCACAGGGAGAGGAAAGTGAGGAATGTTCAGATTGAAGGCTCCCCTGAGAGACATAAACAGGAATTTTACTCTTGTGTAAAGGAGACAAATAGAGATAGAGAAAATGGATGGCTTAGTTGAAGGGAAAAATCAGACATTTGTGTCCTTTGAGAAAAATGAGGCTTCTATGTTCAATGCATGAATTCAGAGTTATTGAGGCTGACCACACACAGCGGAGGAGGTGGCATTGTAGAAAGGCAACAAATGGGACGGAAGGTCATGGAGAAGGTCATAAGAATCTTGAACATCTGTAGCTGCCTTGAGTCAGGACCTGGAGCAATAGGAAGGATCACCAAAGTCGGGGCTAGGGCACAGGGCACAGGGCCAGGGCACAGAGCAGAGCAACAGAAAATGTTAGCAAAAAGAGATCAACTTTGAGACACTATCAAAATGATATTCAACTTCAGAGATGAAACATCTTCAAACATCTAGGGAGGGTAAAAAAATTAAATGTTATCTAAAAAAAATGCATTTCGAATTATCACGCTTCTTCTCCACAAAAATAAATGCCAGAGAACAGTATAACAACATGTTCAGAGTTTTGAAAGAAAAATTATGATCCAAGAATTTTGTAAATATAACTTCTGTGCCAAGGCACAGTACAGGTTTTTTTTTTTTTAACATACATAGAAGGGAGGAAATTTAATACCACGTACCACATGCTCTTCCTTAAATTCTCCTTGAGGAAATATTTGAGTTGATTGAGAATTATTTCAAAATTAAAAACTCCAGAAGAGGAAAGGGGATAGAATAGTAACAACTATGGTAAGTAAAGATGTTAGGAAAATATAAAATGTTTACAAAATAATTATAAATGTAGTTATGAAAAATTTCAGGGAAAAATCTGGGAGTGGAATGAGGGAAGAGAGTAACAGGAAAGAAATCATGTTAAATTTCCATTTAGATATTTTATCTATCTCTTTTGCCTGTATTCTGATGGAGATATAGTAAATCTAAAAATTAAATATAGCTATGACAGAGTGAAATAAAAGTAGAGAAAATTAATGTATGTATCCTATAACTGCTCTAACAGATTCCATAAGTCTGGTGACTTAAAAAAAAACACGAATTTATTCTCTCCACAGTTCTGAAGACTGGAAGTCCAAATCAGTTCTACTGGACCCAAATAAAGGTCTATGAAGGGCTCTAGGCCTTGCAGAAACTCTGAGGGAAAATCCATCCCTTGCCTGTTTCAGCTTTAGCTAACTGCCAGCATTCCTTTGCTTGTGGACACATCAATCAATGTCTGTCTCTGTGATTACAGTACCTTCTCATCTATGTGTCAAATCTCCCTCTGCCTCCTGCTTATGAATACCTGGACTAATTCAGGATAACCTTCCCATTTCAAGATTTCTAATTTAATCACTCATGCAAATCTCTTTTGTCATGCATAGGTTTCAAGTATTTGAATGTAGATAATCTAGGAGGGGGTATTTTTTAAGCCAACTATAATTAATAACCAAATAAAAACAAATAAGGAACAGGAAAAGCTTAACAAAGGAAGGTTAAAATGAAGAGAGTAAAATAATGATAAACACTGGTTTGCACAATTCATACGAATGACTTAAGCTTCATTCTAAAACTGACTATTTTAAAAGAAAATATTCCCTAAGATCCAACCATATACTGTTTGGAAGAGAAACCACTAAAATCAAATACTATCTGAGTTTAAAAACAAAGGAATGGTCACAAGTATATAAAGAAATTAAAAACTAAAAGAAGGCATTCATTATAATATTGATATAATACAAATTAGATTCAAAGCAAATGATATTACATGTGATATAGGGATTATTTATATTGACAAAACATGACATATAATGGTAATAGAACATTCATAAACTTATATGTATAAGTAACATAACACTAAATGTATATAATAAAACATTACTATTTCTACAGAAGAAAAAATACAAGCAAGAAAAACCAAATTTTGTAATATAAGAAAGATACACATTATTGTAAAAATCTAGACAACATTTCAACAATTGGTTATATCCCAAACGACCAAGAAAGAAAATTGCTCAATAGTTTCCAAAAAGTAGAACTTAAGCAATTCATATATTTCGAAAAACAAGCAATGGAGCTGCAATTAGTAACATGCTTTTTTTTTTTTGAATACCACTTGGAAATTTAAACATCCTCATAATTAACTCAAGTCAAGAAGGAAATCAAAGTACAATTATAGTCAATTCATAAATGTCAACAATGAAAACTCTACATATCAACAACATATGGGATACCATTTGGAGAACAGATGGCAGTTTGAGGACATATGTCTGAATTCTCACTACCCCGCCCCTTAATTCTGACAGAAATGACCTAGGAAATATGAAACTAAAGAAAATCTTGCACATAGAAGTGAGATTTAAATGCTAGAAACAGAGAAAGTTTACTGAGAAAAATGCCAGATTGGATTCATATAAAGGAGGATTTCTGCACTGATTTAAAAAAATAGTTTTTAGAAAAATTTTATATTTACAAAAACACTGCAGATAGTAGAGAGAATTCCTATTTCACCCTTCTCCTACCTACACACTTTCCCCTATTATTCATGTCTTGCATTAGTATGGTCCATTTGTTTAAACTGATGAATCAATATTGATATATTATTATTAATTAAACTCCATGGTTTTTATTAAGGTTCACTCTTTGTGTTGTGCAATTCATTGCAGTTTGCCAGTTTATAATGCCATGTGTTTACCATTACAATATTTTACCAAAGAGTTTCACTGATGCAAAATTTCCCTGTGCTTTATCTATTCATCCCTCCCTCCTCCAAATCTCTGATAACCACTGATTTTTTAAACTGTCCTGTAGTTTTCCCTTTTTTAAGAAGTGGCATAATTGGAAGTACACAGTACATAAGCTTTTAAGACTGGACTCTTAGCAATGTGCATTTAATATTCCTCTATATGTTTTCATGGCTTGAGAGTTCATTTCTGTGAACAAAATACCCAATAATAATAGCTTAGAGGAAGAAAAGTTTATTTTGGCTCATGGTTTTGAAGGCTTCAGTCCATGCTTGTCTGGTTCCATTGCTCTGGTCTGAGGTGAAGCAGAAGATCATGGTGATGGGGCATGATAAAGGAACTGCTTAGTTGTGGTGGCCAAGAAGCAGAGAGAGAATAAGAAGCCAGGGACCAGATATCTAATTCCCAAGACATGCCCCTGTGATCTACTTTCTCCAGCCATGCCTCACCTGCCTGCAGTTATCACCATGAGTCCATTCAAATGAATTAATTCACTGATTAAGTTACAGCTCTTGTAATATAATCATTTTATCTATAAGCATTCTGCATTGTCAAAGATGAACCTTTGGGGGGGGGGCATCTCATATCCAAACCATGACATTCTACTCCTGATCCCCAAAAGCTCATATCCATATCACCAAACAAAATGCATTTAGCTCATCTCCAATAGTTCAAAGTCTCCTAGATACTTAAGGCAAACTCATGGCTCTGAGACTCTGTAAAAATTAAAATAAATTATATACATCCAATATATAATGGTACAGAGTGAACATTTCCATTCTAAAAGGGAGAGAAAGGGGTATAGAGAAAAGGATGCAACAAAAACTAGACTGAAGCCCAGCCAGGTATTTTCTGTAGCTCTGCCTCTGGCA